CCAGACTGTCTCTACTAGAAATAGAAAGAAATTACTTAGCCAACTAAAAAAATATATAGAAAAAAAAATAGCTGGGCATGGTGGCTCGTGCCTGTAGTCCCAGCTACTTGGGAGGCTGAGGCAGGAGGATTGCCTGAGCCCAGGAGTTTGAGGTTGCTGTGAGCTAGGCTGATGCCACAGTACTCTAGCCCAGGCAACAGAGTGAGACTCTGTCTCAAAAATAAATAAATAAATAAATAAAAATTTTTAAAAAATCTGAAATCCAAAACACATCTGGACCCAAGATATCAGACGAAGGATACTCAGCCTGTAATGCAAGCAAAAGTGAGCACTGATAGCAGATACTTCTGTTCTTGGTGCAAGCTACTCATCAGCCATACGACAAGGAAAACACATTAAGATTTGCCAAGAAGTCAGCCAAAAAATTTGAAATTATCACAAAGACTTTCTGAAGTAGGTATCTGTGCCCAGTGTGGTTAGTGATGAACCTCACCCCTTACCATACTCAGTGAGAAGGGTGACGCCATCCCTCTGAGCAGGGGCCGTAGATCCAGGCAAAGATGAACCTCCACGCTGCGCTCAGCAACAGCAAATACCACGAGACGCTAACTCGAACACGTGTCACAAGTAGTGTTCACTACATATAATCATAAATGTTTATACACCTTTTACACTTTTATAAACCTTTTCTCAATAGCAAAAAACAAAAAGGAATATACCTTTAAAAAATACTTGTTCTTCATGCCACGGAAATATGGATTAAATACTAGTAAAACAATTTAGAAAAAACAAATCCTGATGCATCTTTTTGTCAGGAAGTACCATTAGATGACAAGTAGGAAATACTGCTGACAATCCGAAGAAGTGCAGGAATAAGTTTTCACGTGGGAAGTTGGCTAAAAGAAGAGATGTTTCCAACATATTCCATCTTATAGTAAGACTACAGGAAGATATTTAAGCAGAGATGAAGTTGAGAGAACATATTTCGCAAAATAGATTTACCTTAAAAACTCCTCAGCATTTTATGTGCAAACTACTTAAGTCCAACCCCTGATGGAATGGCTACTTTGACTGGAATTTTTTTAAAAAAGGTAAGTGAGGGGTGGATTCCACATTAAGAATTCAGCAATAGCATTGCTACATAATTCATAGGCAAGAAATGCCCCAAGTGCTGAGGGCATCACTAATGTGAATTTTATAAAATTAAGACCTTTAGTATATAGTATAATAGAGTATTTATAATTCTTTGGGATGTAATAGGAAATACTCATGAAAAATACTTTGATTTACCTAAATTTCTCTGATTATCCCAAGGCACATACTTTTAAAACATCTGTAAACCTAAAGATGAGTTTTGCATATATTTTTTACACAAAGGCAAGTGTTTCAAATTTTCAGACCTTTCTGAGGCTTTAAATGGCCACCAGCAAATTGCTACTTAAGCAGATACAGTCAAAAAAATAAACACACATAATTTGAATCTTCAGGGTGAAAGTTATGTTTCATCAATGAGACAGGAAGGAACTACTTTCAGAAAGAGACTCGTGACATAGAAAAAACATACTGAAAATGGCTATTTGGAAATGTTCTCATCATTACATGATTATGTTGGCAGAAACTATGCGTGACACCAACAAACGCTTTCACATCTACAAAACTAAAAAACTTGCAAGCAGAATTTTTCTAACTTGGTTTAAAAGCTTTCGAAGAATTTCAATAAGTTTGAAGCTATTTGTTAACAAAGTAAATGTGCAGCATCTTCAGATTAATACGTAAAAATGACAGATTCACATCAAGAAAACAGATACTTACTAGCCAGATTTCGATGGAAAATAGCTTTGCAAAATTGTTAAACAGGATTGAAAATTTCAGTAAGACAGTGGCACTTCCCCTGGGCCTGCTGTCTCTGGAAAGGCTCTTTCTCACTACAAAAGCCCTTCAAACCAAATATTGAAACAAACTGAAGTTAGAACCAGAGTTCTGAATCATTCAAAAAATATTAAAATAACGTTTTCAAAAACAATAAATTTCAAAAAAATTTCAATACATTGCTGTCTTTTAAAAAAAATTAAGTATATTATAAATTCACATAATATATTCTATTTCAACAGTATATAGTGTCATCCTTTTTGTGTATATAACGCATACATTCTTATGTAGCATTTATACTATTCAAGCACATAAATAAACCTGTATTTGGGATGGGTGCTTACAGGGATTGGCAACCACCCTTGAAAGGGCAGGAAAGAAGATGACCAAAAAGCAGCAAAGAAAGAAAACACTAAGAAGTTAACGTGACACACACACACGGAGCAGCAGTTAACGCGACACACGTGTACAGAGGAGCACAGCTTACACGACACATTTAGGGACTGGCGGAGACCACTCGACTCAGTCACAGAAGACTTGTTCTGGAATAACCCCACGCTGGGACAATGCTGAGGGACAGGACTCAGCAGCACACAGCCGACACAGAGACAAGCACGGGCACGGAGCAGCAGGCAACACTCACACTGGTTCATTCCTTCATCAGGAATTCATCGGCTATTCGTTTTGTGCGTCCGCGGTGGGCATGAGAGTAAGCCATGAATTTGGCCCAGAATCCGCCTCTGAGGAGGTTGTAGGCTAGTAGAGGAATTAAGCATGTAAACATATGATTAAAATGCAACAGGAGCAACTGAATTTCAATGATCTCTGCAAGAAAAAAAAAAAAAAAAGCTGGGACCAGGAACTGAGCTTCTGCAACAAGCCACCCATGCCTGGACATACCTACCAATCTCTCTCTTAGCCACTAGGACTTTGTGATTAACCGACTAACTATTCCTACCGATAGCTGGACTAGAACCGTATACACTTTACTTTCTAGTTAAACTAAGCACAGTTCTACAGAAGGCACAGCAAACAGACCTATGTTGGGCTCTGATATATTTTCAATCCCCCAATACTAACAATTGTTTTCGTTCAGATCTAGTTGCTATTTCTTTTCTCCCCAGGTTGCCCCCCGACCCGAGACCCTCGTCATTCTCGCTTCGTGTTGGCATGCACGGACGTGCTTGACTCCCGGTCCCAGGCCTTGTCCTCGGCCTCAGCTTGTGCCCTGATCGCAGTTACGGCGCTGTTGTCACTTTCACTGCCAGGGCATTTTCCCCCTTGCACAAAGACCATTGCACAAAGACCATTCTGCACTACTGACCACTGGGGAGTGGTTCCCTCCAGGTCAGAGACCCTGTGGCCCTCTGACACTCCTGGACCTCGGGACCCTGCGTTTCCTGGCCACTCAACTCTGCATTCTGTCTGCACTTGAGGAGCTGGGAAGAGTGGTTTTTAAATGTTCTCCTTACACCGAGTTCCACAGTGCTAAACTTCCCAGACCTACAGCAGTGCAGAAATTTTGCTGTTTAACCATTTCAGACCGACAGTCGTGTCAGCTATGCCAACATCCACCCTAACCTTATGGCTGAAGTAACACCTAACGAGAGTTGTAATGAGTACAACAGTGTGACTTCATAGCTTGTAGGAATTCCATTTCTCGTTGTATATATTATAGTGTACAAATCCATTTTTAGCCCAATTGGTATTTTTAAAGTGTTTTTTTGTGCATAAAACATCAAACCATATGCTATTCTCCAAAAAAAAAATGACAGATCTGTGTTTTAAATAAAACACTTCTTGAATGTATTCAATTAACTAAAAAAAAAAAATTATCAAACACCCACTGTTATGTCTAGCTGTCTGTAAGTATGGAAAGTATAAACATGACCCCTGCGCTTCAGGGTGCAGAGTCCAGGGAAGGGAACAGACGTGACGACTAATAACTGACACGCAGGACAACACGGGGAGGTCAGGGCAGAACGAGGGAAGGGACACTAACCCGCCAGGGAACACAGAGGGAGACGACCTCACCGAAGAGGTAATGCGGGAGCTGACCTTGAAGGACAAACAGAAGTTTTCCAAAAGAAAAAAGCGCATTTCAGACAGAGGGAAACGCAGGCCTACAAACTGCAAAAAGCAGAGAAGCCTGCAACGCTCAGTCAGCGGCACAGAAGGAGAACACGGGAGCGGGCACGGAAGAGGCTGGAAAAAGACAGGTGGGGCCTCTTTTCAGGGGCTCCGTACACACAGAAAGCATCTGGCTGTTGCCCAGGGGGGCTCTGAACAGCCCTGGAAGATTCCAGTCGGGCGCTTCGTGATCAGACTTGTACTTTACGAGATCACTTTGCAGCTTGAGAAACAAATCTGAGGGCAAGACAGAAGGCAAGGGAGGCCAGGCAGGAGAGTCTTGCCTGGCTCGGCTTAGAAATGCCGAGGAGCTAGACAGACAAGGAGCCACAGGACGACGGAGAGGAGAGGACAGTTGTAAGAGGCTTTTCGGAGGCAGAATCAAGGGGACCCGTGACGGGCTGGGTGGGGGTGTGAGGAGGAGCGCTGTGTCAAGGAGACTCCTGGCTTTCCGGTGATAGCCACGTCCTCCCCCCACAAAATTACTGCTCCCTAGCTGTGATGCCATCTGCCAGCTTTCAGCCCACAGCAAATCTCATTTCCAAAGCAGAGCCACAAGTAAACAGAAATAATTCCCAACTTATAAGATATCAGATCTTAAACTCATAAGGGGCTGACACACGGAACAGCAGCTATGGGAACCAATCAGCTGGATGAAAGTATTTAAATCATAAAAGGTTTCCGTCCATTAACCACCAAAAGCCACCAAGTGTCAAACATAAAATTTCAGGGTAAGTAAATGAAGTCGGATGAAGTGGGATAATGTTCTCAGGGAACTTTGTACCCAAGGCAAACACTAACAAATCAATTAATAATCACTGAGTCTCCTACACCTGCCAGAGACGGACCAGGTCATGACAGGACACATGAAATACAGTGCCCACTCCCAGGGAGTTTACCTTCCTGTCGCACCCTGAGTCAGAGCACAGCTCCTCATAAATATTTAACTTGAACTGCAAAGCAGAAAGATCAACTTGTCACATTAACACCAGGAAGTGCAACTGAAAATCATATGGTGATAGCTTCTATTTTAATTAATATTCTACTGTTCACACTTCTATTAATTTTTAAAGATAGCTTTCTGTTAGGTATTTTATAATCACATTTTAAAATCACAGTCCATTTCACATTAATGTGCAATTTCAACTCATTTTTGACAAGGCAAAAATGCACATATTTTGTTTTGCTCTCGTATGAAATACTGATTATTCAGCTGCAGTCATCTGATGTAACACGTTGAGGAGTCTTCATAAAGGACTTCATCTACCTTCATGTCATTTTCATCCACGGGGACCTGGGGGCAAATCTGTTCTTTGAAAGCCAGGGCCAGGGTATAGGGCTTCACGTCCTGGTGCTGCCCACAGCGCTTCAGGTAGGTGTCGTAGTAGCCCTTGCCCCTCCCTAGCCGGTTGCCGTGTGCGTCAAAGCCCAGACCCGGCACGAAGATGAGATCAAGTCCCCCTGCAGAAAACAGGAACACATTGAAGAGGATTAAAGGCTTTTGAAAGATCACTTCAGGATGCAGTGTTTGTTTTTTAATGACATCTATTCTTTCTCTGATTTCTAAAGAAATATATGATCGCTGTAGAAAATCCAAAAAGCATAGAGTTGGGCAGAAAAGGAAATAAAACTTACTCAGTAAGCCCTTCATGACATTCTTCCAGCACTTCTTATATATCTATATCTGTATCTGCGTATGCAGATAGACAGATACATAGATAGATAGATATCTGTACAAAAATGCCAGATTCCAAGGCCCCACCCCTGCCTGGTTAAACACAATCTCCAGGGATAGGGCCTCTGCTTCTTTCTGAGCACCCAGGTGATGATTCTACATACCTGCCGGGTGTGGGAATCAATGCCCCAGGGTAAGGATGGTTGGAGGAGTAGAAGATCAGAGAGGAGCCAGAAAAGACAGAGCTGTTCTCAGTGTCAGGGAACAGGGCGGGAGGCTGCTCTTGGGAGTACCAAGCAGTTCACTTCCCTCCCACTGGACAGGCCAGGCCAGGCTGTGGGGATTTCCAGATTGACACCAGAGCAGGATGTGAACTACTGAGGGACAGTCCCATGGTACAAGGTGGGGCCCCATAACTCGTCCTATAGATGGAACCCTCTCAAGTAATGCAGGGACCAAAACTGGCCCTGGCATCACCAGGGCAGAACAGGCTGCTGGTGCTCAGGGTACAAGGCAGGGTCTTAGAGACTATAAAAACCCAACCATAGGCCGGGCGCGGTGACTCATGCCCGTAATCTTAGCACTCTGGCTGAGGCTGGAGGATTGTTTGAGGCCAGAAGTACGAGACCAGCCTGAGCAAGAGTGAGACACTGAATCTACTAAAAATAGAAAGAATTAGCTGGGTGTGGTGGCACACATCTGTAGTCCCACCTACTCAGGAGGCTGAGGCAGGAGGCTTGATTGAGCCCAGTAATTTGAGGTTGCTGTGAGCTACGCTAACGCCACAGCACTCTAGCACTCTAGACAGATTGAGACTGTCTCAACAAAACAAAACAAAAACAAAAAATGCCACCACAGTGAGGGTGTGTGGAGATCCCAATAAAGGAGGCAATACAGCTCACCAGATGAAGAACCCCCATGATTTTACGAGCCCAGAGAAGGGTCCTCCAGCCTCAGCAAGGAGCATGAGGTGCCAGTTCCAGCACAAGAGCCACATTACAAGTCCTACCCAGTGGCCTGCCCCGTGGCCCTCCTGACTGGGCCTTGGCCTCCTGATGTCTGTTCTAGGGGTCTCTGGGTGACCCACAACTTACCCATGGACTAACCACTCATGCAGCATTGCTGGCAAGAGTAGGAAGCCACGAATTCTCGGGAACAGTGTCCTCAGCAGAGATGTTTACACTGCCCAGCCCCCACTGTCAGCAGCTATGCGGACTGCCTACAGAAATGTAAGGAGAGCTCAGCTTCTCTCTGGCTCCTAGCGTACACTTGTCAACCCCTGCCTGCCAAAACCCAGCAGAGTATGTCTCAGATTACAGCAATGACCTTCCCATGTAAACCTGCTCGTCTATTCCAATGCCAACTTGCTAAAAGGTGCTAGTCACTGGCCTCTGTCCTTCCTCCTCGTCTCTGTCTCGCTCACTTGTCTCTCTTGGGGCTGACAGTGGCCTGCACGCTTGGGTTTTGCTCCCTCGTGTCCTCTGTTGCCAGAGCACTGTCAGGCTTGGAGTCCTCCTCAGTCTTCCATAGCGAGAGCACACACACACACACCCTCCCTAGCATTCCTGCCTCTTTACAGTATGGCAAGGCGTTTCGTAAGGTCCCCTGGGGCACACACAGTCTCCTCCCTTCAGGAGATGGCAGTTCACTTAACATAAAATTACACGCCACACGTAATATCCATTCCAATGCCAGGCAGCAGTCTCCGCCAACTGCCCACAGAGCAACAGGGACAAGTACTGGAGCCCTGAGCAGAGGGACGGCAATTCTCGCTGGGTGGTCGGGGAAGAGTTCAGAGGGAACTTGTACGTGACCTGCATTTCAAAGATCTGCCCGAGCTGGGTCTGGGTATTTTTCAGGAACCAAAGGGAGAGTGGCAGGAGCAGAGCAAGGAGAAGGGAGTGGGAGCCGCTCACTCACTGGGGCAGAGGCTCACACCAAGCAACAGTAGAAGATGTGAGCCGAGTGTTCCCCAGGGAGGGGCACGGGGCTCAGAGACCCCCTAAAAACACGATAGCTAAAAAGCAAATAAGCCAATTTAAAAATGGGCAGAGGGCTTCAACAGACATTTCTCCAAAGTAGATATACAAATGGCCAACAGGCATGTGAAAAGATACTCAACATCCCCAGTCATCAGAGAAATGACAACAAAACCTCACCTCACACCCATTGGGGTGGCCAGTATCTAAAAAAAGAGAAAATAACAAATTTGGGGGAAGATGTGGAAAAACTAGAACCCTTGTGCACTGTTCGTGGGAATGTATGAATAAAATGGTGCAACCACTTTGGAAAACAATATGCAGGCTTCTCCAAAGGTTAAAAATAGAACTACCATACAATCTAGCAATCCCACTTCTGGGTACTTACCCAAAAGAATCGAAATCAGGGGCTCAAAGAGATGCTGCGTACTCATATTCTGTATTACTCAGATTCTATATTCCAAGATACGGAAACGACCTAAGTGTCCCCTGATGGACACCTGGCAAACGCAACGTGGAACATGCATGCGATGGAGTGCGGCTCAGCCGTGGGGAAGACAATTCTGCACACGCAGCGCATGGATGCATCTTGAGGATACACCAAGTGAAGTAAGTCACAAAAAGACAAACACTGTGTGATTCAAAAGTAGCCAAACTCTCGGAAACAGAGAGCAGCACAGTGGCTTCCGGGGGCAGGAGGTGGAGGCAACGGGGGGCTGCTGTTCACCAGGTGGAGAGTTTCAGTCACGCAAGACGAAAAGTTCTAGAGATCTGCTGTACAAATTGTGCTTTTACTTCAGTACAAGTGTCGACTACAGTCGACAGCCACCGATGAACCGAGCGTCGACTTTAGCCGACAGCCGTGATACGACTTTTCAAATTTTTCATTTATCAAAATGAAATTGTGAACATTTAAAAAAAAGTCATGAAAACATATATATATATATATATATATATATGTTACCTATTCTGATTTACATGAGAAGCAAAGCTGCCTGTAAAGTAAAACAAGCTTTCAGTGCTTTCAAGCTTTCCTCATTATGCAAGAGCAAGACGGACTTGTCGTCAATGCGCAGCACAAGCTGTCGTGCGGACTGTGAGTGCCGGCTGTGGGCGAGGTGCCGCGGCCGGTGTGCACCGTACCAAAGTGGTTAAAATCTTTTAGGAGGGTAGAACTCACATTACATGTTATTTGCCACAATAAAAAACAAGGCCAAAAGAGAAGGCAGGAAAAGAGTCAGGATTTCACAGGAATCAGTGCACAGGAAAGAGAAGGCAGAATTCAGGGAACATACACATTTAGGCAGTTAGAGGAAGACAATGAAGGAAGGAAACAGAAAGGTAAGAAAATAACATTCTCAAATCCCTTGTTAAAATCAATCCTGCTCCCTGTAGTCCTGGTACTCCCTGTGCTCTGACCACAGCTCTCCCTGCAGTCTGCCCTGCACTGCAGCAGACTGTATGTCTCCGTCCGCCCTGCCAGAAAGAAAGTTTCATAGAGGGTCATAATTTTTTACCAAGTCATCCTTCATGCTTGAATTGTAATAGAATTCGAGGCCAAAGTAACCCTGAAAAGTAAAGTATTTTATCTGCAGAATGGATCAATACTGGCATGTATCCCTATTTTAGTAACTCCAAAGAATACAGCTTCGGATCAAGGAGGCAACATTATGGGGCAAGAAAACAATAAAAGCATAACCTTATGTGACTATGTGTTCAAAGTGAGCTCTACAACTGCTAAGCAAGAAAGAGAATGGCTGCGGGTTCTCAGGTAGCAAAGACTCTGAAATGGTCCCCCCAGATGGGCTCCTGACATGCTGTCTGGGGTGTTGCTGGCAGACCCCTGTCCACAGCTTGCTACCCCTGCTCCCTTCAACCACACGGTCCCCTGCCGGCACTGCCCTCAGGTCCTCAGGATACCCTTCTCGTCTGCCCGGGCTTCTGCTATTCGGCGAATTCGTGTCTTCCTGAGACGCACGGTGTACGCCTTGCTTAACTTCACCCATTTGCTGTCAGCCTTGACGTTCTTCCCGTGCCTTGCTACCATTGCCGCACGCTTCCCCCACCCCACCCCACACACCTGGGGCTGTCCACGCCTCAGCAGCACCACGCCCGGTGCTCTTCCTCCCCAAAGCTGAAGGGCCAGCGGGGCGTGAACGTCACGTATGGGCTCAGCAAGTTTCCCTTGCACATGCTGGTCCCACTAACAGAAGTAAGCCCCGGATCCACGCTCACACGTCACAAGGTCAGAACTCAGTAGAGGAAACAGGAGGAAAACCCTCAATCCACACGCACGTTCTTTACTGGCTTCTAGCAGGGCTCTACTTTCAAATCACTGAGGGCTCGCTAACACTGACATCAGCACAAGTGCAAGAAGAGCCGACCCCCTTGGTCGCGTTTGCTCCTGTGCACACTCCTTCACGGGCGCGGGCCAGCACAGAACGAGGCCAGCAGAGTCAGGGCGCCCAGCTGCACCAGGACCACCCCACGGCATTCAGAAAGAGCTCTCTGGGAGTCGCAGGACTGTTCTGCAGAGTCGTGGCTTGCGGGTGTTTTTCTCCATGCTCCAGTGGCTTCCTAATGCACTCCTGCACTCCAAAACGCCAAAGCTAACCTTTAAAACTCACCCGGCCCCACACGCTGTATCTGCTCACAAACATCTTCTGTCTTTTCGTCGGTGCTGGCTCTGAAACAGCAGCCCCATGGGGAGGCAGTCTGGCGTGATGATTGGGGGCATGGACCCTGAGGCTACCTATCTCTTAGCTGTGTGACCATGGGTAAGTCACCACCCTCTCTGTGCTTCAATT